CTACCAAGTGAGCTCCAGGAAAGGCGCAAAGCTACGCAGAGAAACCTTGTCTCGAAAAACCAAAAAAAAAAAAAAAGTGTGTTCCTTACTCCAAATTTATAAAGCAATTCTTTTATGTCTTTTAGTGTTTTCATGATAGAATTTTGCACACTTAAGTGACTAATATTTTGAATACATATCCTGGTATAACATCAGATGCATGTTTCACTTTCCTGAGGTCAGGATGTCTGCTCAGGTGTCTGAAATGATCCATTTTTTCAGAAGCAGCTGGAATGCTCACCACCACCTCCACCCATTTTTAAAAAGCTGGATTCCTGTTCTAGGCCATCTGCAGACTTTCTGATCCCTTTTATCTGTCCCACCGGCTTGTGTGAGTCACTGTTATGCTTTCCTAGGGTCTCACCGTTATGGCTTGCTCTCCTGGTGCCTCAACTTTTCTGGGATTATTTTGGTCATATTTTCTTGATGATTCTTCCACATGAAGACCCACACTGACTAATATGAAGAGATTAACAATTCTATCTAAATAGTGTTTAACTTAAATTAATTTATGTAGAAGCCCTATGCTCCCTAATGCCCCTTTTAATAGAATGTACCCTGTTCATTTCTATCCTTCTTCACTCCTTTGGAAACATTTAAAATTTTCTCCATATGAGAGAATTAACTCCCACAAATCACACACGCGCGCGCACACACACATGCATGCACATGCACACACACATGCACTAAAAATGTAAAAGCTGTTTTTTAGTTGTTTCCATATGAAACTTACATTACATGGCACTTCATTTTTTTGGGGGCCATCACAAATAAGCAATTTATCTTCAAGCTGGTTGCCATGGCATCCAGAGAGGTGAGGAAGTTGCTCTTTGTTTTGTGGCCTCCAGTCTTGCTGAACTTTGACACAGACGTCTCTTGCACACGTCCTCAAGTGTTTTCTTAGCTGTGCAAACACACTGTTGACAAATGCTGATGTTATCACTTCCCGTCTCCTGTGATCGCCTCACAGTCCTTTCTCCTGTCTAATCACTTTGGCCCGGATTTCCAGAGTGTTGTGGGTGACGTTAGCAGACAACGTGGCGTGTGTTTGTCTGCAGAACTTTCTGCTATTTTTTTTCTCTAAACTTCATGCAAGAATTTGGATAGATTCGATTTATCCTGGCACAGAAATTTTCATCTTGTATTGAGGACTGAAAAAAATTAATGAAAGAATTGTTGGATTTGCCAGCTCCTTACAGATTCTATCTGTTGAGATGACTTTATGATTGGTTTCACCTTTAGAACTCACAAGTTTCAAGTTATGTTACTTAGTAATAACATTCCCAAATTCCTAGGAGAGGGAAATCATATGATTTTGCCTTATTATTTTTAAAATGGGGTTGAATTCAGTTTTCTAAATCCTACTCAAGGGTTTTATGCTGGTGCTCATAAACTGGGCTGGAGTCCAGTCACTGTTTTGGGGGCATTAGCATTAGATTTTCCCATCAGTGACACATGAAGAGCTTTCTATTTCTCTCATCCTGGAAGAGCAAAGACATCATTAGACACAGTTATTGTCTGGATGAATGTACGTACTTACTCTCTTGCTGCCTCTGGCTAACTTGATGATACCTCTTTCTGTTATTATTTGCTATTTCTCATGTAGTTAATTCTTTGAAGTTCTAGTTTCTTAGAGAAGTACACTTTTAATACAAGTCTTCAAGCTTAATTATAGAGACATCAACAAAGTGGGCCCCTCTGGTTATTAAATTTTTGTTGATATTGACTTATTTCCTTTATCCTTTTTATTTAATTTCATTCTTCTCCTCTTCTGAATCAGATAGGGCTGATGTGCAGTCCTTTAGTTAAGGAATCAGCATGGATTGTGTTTGTTTGTTGGTTTGTTTATTTTAATTGTTTGAGACAGGGTTTCTCTGTGTATCTTTGGAGCCTATCCTGGTACTTGCTCTGTAGACCAGGCTGGCCTCGAACTCACAGAGATCTGCCTACCTCTGCCTCCTGAGTACTGGGATTAAAGGTAGTGTGTCACCACGCCCAGCGGATTGTGTTTATTATAAATATTTTTTTCTAGTTGGTCAATTTCTGTTTTAATCTTTTTTTTTTCTTCTTCCTGCTTTTGTGGGTTTTTTTCCCCTTATTTTTCTAACATGTCCATATGTCCTATGACCCTTGTGGGATTGTTTCATTATTAATTTCTAGTCATCGTGTACCATAATAAATATTTTTTCTCTAGTGTTCTGACTTTTTAAAGTTTTGAGGTCGCCTTTGTAGTTTAAAATGCAATCAGTGTTAGAAATGAGAATTTAAGACTGCTCAGGAGGTTATGGTGGGTTATACCTTGTGTCCATCCTGACAAGCCAGGCTTAACTGGCTCCTGAATCTTCTAGGTGCTGAGTTCCTGTGCTACCTTCCTGCCTGAGACTCATTACCACCTAACCCCACCAATAGAAAGACTAGTAAGAGTAAATGAGAGTGGGAGAGAAGGAGGTAGAGGAGGAGGAGAGAGAGGAAGGCAAGAGAAAGGATGGGAAGGAAAGGGGGGCTAGAGAGAGGAAGGGAGGGAGGGAGGGAGACATACAGACCTTGAGCAAGAGAGCACCAGAAAGTATGGTGACCCACAGAGCTGGCCCCCTGTGCTAAGTAGGGTGGGCAATGTTAGTTGATCCCGTTTACCACCGGGATATTCCTCATTTATCATAGATGTCAACCGTGTCAATGATTTTTATTAGTCTTTTGGTTCATGACAAGAAACATTAAGTAAAGAAGAGTTGATTTTGGCTTACAGTTTGACAAGACACAGCCCACCACGGTGAGAAGGCACACTCAGCAACGGCCTCGGGTGACAGGAGTATGAAGCAGCAGGTCACATGACCCCCACACATTCAGGAAACAGATGAAGAATGCTGGTGCTCAGCTCACTTTTTTTTTTTTTAAATCCACTCTGGGATACCAGACTATGGGATAATGCAGCCCAAATTCAGGGCAGGTCTTCCCTCTGTCAAACCTTTCCAGGGCTGTGTGTTTCCATGGTGGTTCTCAATGCAGTCAAAGTGACAAGGAAGTACATCCATGCTATTTCACAACTCCAGCCTTCCTCTCTTTTCTTTCCCACTTCTGCTCCCTGCGTAGACTCTACATCTTCATGGCATCGTGCTGATGCTCTGTCCACCACCACTCACCACACACGGTTTACTCTGGCTCTGTGGAGACAGGCTCCATTCTCATCCCTGGTTCTTCCTTGCTGTCCCCATTTGGCTCACTACAGTTCAGCCTCCTGCCGACTTGTGGGGAGATCTCACATGAAAAGTTTAAAGTTGATGCTGTTGTACTTGAGTGGCAGTTTATGGCCTATAGGTTCTTGGGCACGTGTTGTTTTCTTGAGGACTCTAATCATTCCTCCACTTGGTTCCATCTCATAACGGTGGTTCTCCATGTGTGACAAGCTTCATCATCATCATCATCATCATCATCATCATCACCAGAGTCTGCCTTGAGATCCAGATTCTTGCTCCCACCTTGCCCTCCAGGTCCTGACACCTATGTCTTGGCTACCCCTCTTTTATGTGGTTGCATTCTTTCTCAGGCTGTGATGGTTCCTTTCTCCTTAGAGATAGCTTGCTGGTTTTGGCTCTTTCAAAATGGTTGCTTTTATATATGTAATTTCCACTGGACTCACCAGAATGCACACCTCAAAATCGGCCATTCTAAATCAACTGCCTCTGGTATACAGTGTGCTTTTGAGTATGCAGACATGCATTACCCTTTAGTATACTTCAAGGAATATTTATTTGATCATGTCTCTAAACTGTTTTCTGCTCCAACACTTTAACTTTGCTTTGTGAGAATCTGTTACAGAGCTGTTCAGTCTCTTTCTTTTTTCAGTCTCATTTGTTTTTCCAATATTTCTACTTTCTTTTGATTGCCCCCTTTTTCCTTTGTGCCCCTTCTACTCTCCAGTGTGATCTTAGAAATGTTCTCACTTCTGCTCCTGGATCATTCAAGACAGAAGATGATGGGTCTCCAGTTGTTTCATCTTCCTTGAACTATATATTTTTTCTGGAGGATGATCTTCATCCACTGAGTGCCCCCTAAAGCTCTCCTCCTAACTCTTGTAGTATCTCATACGTTCTGAAGGGTGTTTTCTTCCTCCCGTTCCTCATTCTCCTTCCCCCTTTCTTTGTAGCGTTTCTCCTAACTGAGTTCATTTTTGCGGGACTGGCTGTCCACAGGTGATATGGCTCCAGAAATTTACAGTCACCAAGTCCTTCTGCTGTTGTGTTCTCTCTTTACAGAGTCTTCCCTTTCCCATCTCCAGCAAGGTGCTGCCCATCCATGCTTGATACTTTGCTGCTTTGGGCAGCTCTTGTATCTCTTTTGTATGATGAACATGCATAGAGCTATCTTGCATCACTCCCCCAAAGGCATTTCACTTCAGTTCATTCTTACCCCTTTGCATTTGCATAATGTCTGGAAGACTCAGTGGAAGGTTAACTGCATAATACTCGAATGGGGGCATGCTCTATTGCTCTCAAACACCTACAACTTTAGTAAACCTGGGTGAAGTGATTTTCTTACTGCCTTAAAAATAAAGAAAGAGGTTTGTCTTAGGGTTTCTATTGCTGTGATGAAACACCATGACCAAAAAGCAAACTGGGGAGGAGAGGGTTTATTTGGCTTACAATTCCATGTCTCTGTTCAGGATTGAAGGGAGTCAGGACAGGAACTCAAACAGGGAAGGATCCTGGAGGCAAGAGCTGATGCAGAGGCCATGGAGGGATGCTGCTTACTGGCTGCTCCTCATGGCTTGCTCAGCCTGCGTTCTTACAGAAGCCTGGACTACCAGCCCAGGGATGGTAACACTCATCAATCACTAATTAAGAATATTCCCTACAGGCTTGCCCACAGACAGATCTTATGGAGGCATTTGTTAACTGAGGTTCCCTCCTCTCAAATGACTTTAGCTTGTGTCAAGTTGACATAAAACCATCCAGCACAGAGTTAGTATTCTATCATTTCCTAGAGGTTAAATTTAAAGGTAATTTGCAAACAAATTTGCCTAAGACCTGAAGCCAAATTCCTTAGTCCAGGCACAGGTCTTTTAACTGTTAGATAAACCAGTTTCCTGATGCTGGAGTGATGAGATATGCCTCTTAAAATGATGTGTGAATAACAAGTTAATTCGTCCAATGCACAGCTCTTAATTCAGTCCTGGTCCCTATGACTGTGATAGCTGGCCTAATATCAGTTTCACTTTCTATTTATTAAAATCACTTTCTATTTATTAAAATCCACATGCAGAGAGGCAGGCAAATATTTGTGAGTTCGAGGCCAGCCTGGTCTACAGAACGAGATCCAGGAAAGGCACAAAGCTACACAGTCTCTGTGTTTCTAACCCTGTCTTGAAAAACCAAAAAAAAAAAAAAAAAAAAAAAAATCCACATGCAGATCTCTTCTGGATTCTATTGTGAGAAGCTGTGTTTGATTTGTAAATGTACTAAAGTTATTAATGATGATTAGTACTTATGGTACAGCTTCTCTAAGTTGGAAAAGTGTGCCTTTAAAAGGGGTTTGTTTTTAAATTATGTATATATGTGTATGCATGTGTGTAGGTATGTACAAGCAAATGCAGGTTTCTGCAGAGGTAGAAGAGAGCATGGGATCCCCTAGATCTGGAGGTACAGGAGGTTGTGAGCTGCTCAGTGCAAATGCCGTGAATCAAACTCAACTCTAAGCAAGAGCAGTACATGCTCTTAACTGCTGAGCTGTCTCTCCAGCCCTGGGTGTGCCCGTTCCTACAGAATTAATTAAATCTTCATTCCATGTAGGACACTCCCAAATCCTGCACCGCACCATATTCACTGAGTTTCCTCATAGATGATATTTTTTTCTCTGCTACATCTCTCCCACTGTGCATGCATTATGCCACCACCTACCGCTCTCTAGGACAGTAAAGGCTGTAGTAATTCCTAAGGAACAGCGCATACTGGGCCTTGAGAACATCGTTTTCTTTGGCTTTAGTTTTCTATCCTATGTAATGTCATCGATCACTTCATAAGCAGTCATTATGCATGTTCTTCGTGAACTGGGGTGAGCTTTGGGGGCAAAGGAGGCAGGATGTAGTGAATTTGGAAGTGAAACACAGCACAAGAGCTGTGAGCGATCACTAGATGAAGCCACTTTTTCTGCCTGCGTCATTCCAAAAGGGCCACAGCAGGTGTGAATTGGCCAGTAGGAGACAAGACGCTAACACAATGGGGACTTGTAAGCTGAGAGAGGCTTGTGTGTCCACACACATCGTTCTGTGTGGACGATGAATGAGGTCGGTGAGGGACAGAGCTGGGAATGGGTGACTGGGACCAGCAGTGGGCATAATCCTGTGACACACCAGGGGTCACCTAATGTTTCAGAGTCAATGTACAGCAGGATCAAATGCATAATTTCAGAAGAGTCGGTAGGAGGTTGGGGTGAGCCACCTGCTAGAGGCCTCTCTAGTCTGCAGAGCAGCGTCAGACATCTGCAGCTGTGTTAACAGAGTGGAACTCAGTGCCTTAAATTCTCAAAGAACTAAGAACAAAATAGAATGCAATCATAAGTGTCACCCAGTTTTTTAGGGGCTTCTTTGGATCTAGGCGGGCCTCAGAGGATTCATTACGGTTATGTAGGCAGCTGCCAATCAACCAAATTGATGACTCTTTCTAGAGATGAGTGACCCCATGGGACAACTGAGTTTTGTTTCTTCTTCAGCAAGTTAGGCCCACATGCTTCCCATGATAATGGTGACCTGTCCAAAGACAAGACGAGGCAAGTCAGAGGGGCTATGCATTTGACCACGAGACTTGCCCCAGTCTAAAAGAGGAAGAATAGTTCCTACCACTTTAATGAAAAATATAAAGTTGTATTATAGTGACATTATAAAAACACAGTCAGGGTTGGGGGCCATTTTTAGTCTATCATAATCCTTTGACATATACTATTGGATGTTTATTCAAGCAAATGTGTATATCAAATACACATACATATTAACCTAGCTATTCTGAAATGACCAGTATCTATTTTAATACGTCTAATAATGTCTGATGCACAGATATGTCACATCATTTTCAGGGTCTAGTGGAAACACGAATTAACTGATTGTTAATATTATTAAGAATTTCCAGACAGTAGAACAGTAAGCTACACCAAGGCATGTTGAATGTGAGACTCTGTGTGCTGTGTGGCTGCATGCCCATGAAATGCCCCTGTTGTTGCAAGGAATTAAAAAAAAAAATCTTATTTACAGTATCAATTCACAGACTAGTCACCCTACTGTGACTACCCTGAAGGTGTTAACTCATATCTGTTTGAAAAGCCATCAAATGTCTATTTTGTCTTCTTTTTCCAGAAGGAGTCTACAAGCTCAGGGCTGTAGTCCATGACGTTCATGGAGTTGATGTGGAACTGGGACCTTATTATGTGGACATTGGCCGTGAGAATGTGTCTGTGTTCATGAATTCCAGCTCTATCCACGATGGTGAAGCTCTTTCCTTTGCTGACCCCCTCCCACAGCAGAAAGGTGAGGCCTGTGCCTGGAAGCTGAGCACTCATGTCTCTGCTGTATGTGTAGGCTGACTCCGCTTTAGTTTAGCTGTCCAAGTTCCAGCCATCCTATTCAATACAGTGCTGTCCATTCATTTTGACCTCATGTAGAAAATAGGTACTGTGGCATGTTGTGTGTTGGGGGAGATAAGATGGAATTGTGTAGGGATCCAACTTTAGGTAATTTGTAATCCAGTAAAGATATTTAGTTAAGTGTATTAAAAAAAAATGGGAAAGGACAAAAAGTGCCTGAAGAGGAGCATGGCCATGGGGCTGACAGGTCCCCTAGACTGTGTCACCATGGGACAGATACTGCCTGAGGTAAGAGCTGGTGCATACAGTGAACTGTGAGGAGCAGGTATGGGGACATTCTGGCAGATGGCACAGCCACAGCCAATGGTATGTGGTGCTGGGTGCTTGTAGTATATCAAGAGCTTCCTAACTCCTGCCTCCTCACCCTCGCCCCACACCTACCTGAAGGTGTCCCTTCCCCTGCTGCCAGCTTGGGGGAAGGCATCAAAAACTCACAGTCCAGAAGGAGTCAGAAGAGGAACTGGAATCAAGGGTTCTGAAGGAAACAGTTGGGACACATTATAGTAGAGCCAGAGCGGAGCAGGAAGAGCCGAAATGTTCCGTTCCTGTAGATAGATACAGGCTTAGAAAAAGAGAACCCAGTGGGAGATGCAGCCCAAAGAACTCATTCCTGAGAACCCATATTACTTATATCACATATAGACTGTGTATCCCTATAGCCCTCCTGGGGGAAAACTCCCCAACTAAGTATTACATGACACAGAGGAGGACTTTTAAACCTGCTAAGCGGTGCACTGTAACCAGCCAGCTCACCATCCGTATTGATTTGTCTTATCAAAACTTTGAGTAAAGGGGGTGAGCCCAGGCCACATGTGTCTGTGCTAAGATTTAGAATTGGGTGATTTGAGTCTAAATCCTGTGCTAAATCCTGTGCAGTTTTAATCAGTAATTGGACACCCTTGTGCAAATCCATAACTTTTCTTTCCTCACATGTTGTGAAACCAGATTGTGATCAAGATTAAGTTTTAGTCATCATTGAGGAGAACATGCCAATCTTATTGGTGGGGCACTTTTAAAAAGAATCTGTATCCAATCCATTTTACTTATGTTATAGTTAAACATTTTTCTTTATAAAAAGAAATTCATAAAAAAGCAATAATAATTTTTAAGCCCATCTCCTTTTTAATATCCAAAATGAGTTGATTTAAATCTTCTTAGATATCACAGCCCTATTCTAGGATCTGATTCAATTTTTTGGTATTTGCCTTCCAATATATGCATACATATGTGTATATGTACACACATGCTCATAAAATACTGCATTACATTTTAGAGGACTTAGATGAACGAGGCTTATTGTTGAACCCCAATTAAGAATCTCTATGGTGTGAAGACTATTTAATAAATACACACAAGACAAGCATGTTTAACATAAAGCCAGCTAACAAAGGAATCAATGTATCACAAAGGCTGGAATGTATTCATTACTATGCCGAGTTCTCTGAGGAGACAGAAATCATTTAAATAAATGATTTTTCTTTTTAAAGAGAAAGCCTGTCACATAATTCATGTTTGCTAGCCACCTCATTTGAGTGTATGCTCCAGATTTCAAATTTTATTAAAATTCAAAGAGATAAAGTTGACAATGAGAAATATTGGGCTGTGTGTGTGTGTGTGTATGTGTGTGTGTGTGTGTGTGTGTGTGTGTGTGTGTGTGTGTGTGTGTGTGTTTAAGTGGATTAAAATTTCTCCTGTGTCTTTTCTCATTTTAGGCACCATCGTGATGCATGGCTATTCGTCTGTTTCTTCATACAATGTGTCCTTTATTTCTCAGGCTCGAGTGGGCAGTGGCCAGGCTTGGAATGGTGTGACTGTTGGGTATAAGCTGCAATGTGCGTCAGGGTTCTCATTCTAGATATAGCCCTTCTACCTTAGCAGCTCAGCCCAAGACACATCCTACTGGCCCTTCAACAGGCTCTTGTATACATGCAGTTTGTTCTGGGACTTTCCTAGGAACCGTAGGCTCTGAGCTCCCACCAGAGTATGGGAGATGGGGGACTATCATGTGGTCATCGGCTGCCCTCACCCCACCTCCATTCCATGCCTTCCAAGCACAGTTCCCAAAGGAGATGGCCACATTGTCTTGTGAGCCATTACTGATGGCCCTCAGACTTGGGCTCTACCTCCTACTTGGGCCCCACAGATCTCCCTCACTCCCTGGCTCTGCCTTACACTCACCTCCACAGGCTCATTCTGTGTTCATGCTTCGGTTAGGTGGCAGTGTTGGGGGTTCTCTGAGTGGCTCCCAGCCTTTGTCCTGATAGATCCCTACCTCCCTCTCTTCTCTCTTCATCACAGCTGTGTCTATCCACACCAATGGAACCGTGTTTGCTGCAGACACGAACATCACATTTGTGGCTGTTACCAATGAAACTGTACCCCTGGAGTTTGCATGGTATTTTGGAGATGACCCACCAGTGAGGACAACTTCCAGAAGCATTAGAAGAAGGCTGAGCATCCCTCAGTGGTCTGTCAATATGCTCTTTAGTGCTGATACAGCCAATGGTCAGGATAAAGACCACCCCGGCACTATCACAACAGTTTTATTGGTGCTTACATTACACCCAGGCCCTAAGCACTTCTGTGTTTAGCTTAGCCATAACATGTAAAAGAAGAGGGTCTCACCTCCCCCAGTGTACACTAAATTCAAATCTCTATCTCAGCCCTCGGTACAATATAGATTGTACTTCCTATAAAGAAGGGTGAGGTGCTCACCTCATAGAGACTTGAGAGAAAGGGGACTTGAGAAGAATTCCCTCCATCTTGGCCTTGATACTACCTCGTTGGATAATGCCCATAACTTAAGTTCTCAGCTCTGTCTGTCTGCTGAAGTGATGTGGAGATTCTTGCCAGCCTTTTGTTCTCATCTTACCTTGTACCCTATCCTCAGGTACCATGTGATGGTCAAGGCCACCAGTAGGGTCGGCAGTGTGGTCTCTGAGTCCCACCTCATCAGGGTACAGAAGAGAATCACGGCCAATCGGCTCATGTCCACTGCCTCAGCCCTGGTAAATGCCAATGTGTCCTTTGAGTGCAGGCTCAACTTTGGCACTGACGTGGCCTACTTGTGGAACTTTGGAGATGGGACCATTGAGCTTGGCAGCAGCTCCTCCAGCCATGTCTACAGCAGGTGAGCCATGAAGGACAGGTGACAGCTGATTGCAGTAGCACATGGGGCTGCCTTCCGAAGGACCGATGCTTAAAACCCCATAGCCAATCTTGCGGGTGATGCAGATGACAAACGTTGATGCAAACCTGCCAGGCCTGGCTAGGGCCCTGGGGAAGCTTGCAGTCTAGGGAAAGGAGGCAAATAGAGGCCTTCATTCCCGGGAGTTCTGTCAGCAAAGAAGGTATGGGGTACAGAAGGCACGACCTCCACACACGACTTTGTAGATGGTGGAACCATACTCAGGCATTTGTGCATTTACGCATGACCAGAAGGGGAACTTCCAGCAGGAAATTCTTAGAGAAAAAGTGGGTATGGGGAACCAACAGAGACCCCAAGACAAGGGCATCAGTGGGAGAGGCCTGCAGTAGCAGGTGGGTATGATTGGGAAAGAGAGGAGCTAGACAGGGAAGGGGGAGTAGAAGAAACTGTAAGGGCTCGAGGACACACTATAATGGGTCTCTTGTCTGAAGGTAGAGTATGAATAATTCAACCCACTGCTTACCCGGAACAAGGCATTATGGAGATAGTTGTGTGTCACTTAATCACCAGAGGTACTCTGAGAAGGCATTATTTGTTGGTTCTGTTAGTGTGCAAATGTCACAAGTGTGTTTACACAAACTTGGATGCCATAGATCTTACATTGTGCCTGATGCAATCAAGAGAGGATGTAAATATTAGATGTAGAAAGCCACCATCAGGTAATGTTGTTTTATAGGAAGCATTTCTTTGTGTAAGCAGGTGCACATTTTCTGAAAGCTATAGTTTATAAATATATAAACCAACCACATAGCCATTTTTTATCATCTTCCATATACTGGCCATCATTGTTCGTCACGGGCTGCCTAATTCCCACAGTCCTCCTATGCTACTTCTCTGCATAGCCAGGACCTTCCATTCTGCCCAGGGGCTGGATGAAGGTGCAGGTTTGAAACCCATTCTGTTCCCTCTTAGTGTGCCAAACCCTAAGGATGGTTCAGGAAATCTGACCGCTAGAACCAGAAGATGTGCCCAGGGGCCCAGAGTTCCAGTCAGGAATGACCATCACTGGGAAAAATTTGAAGCCCAATCTTTGAGTGGCCCTGTGATCAGCAGCAAACTGTATCTTGGCTACTGGGAGCAGTAAGCCCTCGCCTGAGTGTGATGTTGTTCGGAGCATATAACTACCAGTTGACTGGCACAGGGCTTTATCCACACAGGATGGGCAGCTCCACCAAGCAGGTGGAGAACGGCCTCCGTGGAGATCACCTTCATGACCCAGGCCTCTTCTGCCCCTGCTCTTTGGGTTCCCTTGCCATGAGATAGAATAACCACAGGTCACAGATGTTTATAAAGAGCAAATGAGGACCAGTGTACCACGACCTTGATCTCTCCATGTCTCTGCTCTTCCACCCTTCCAGGGAGGGAGAGTTTACAGTTGAAGTCCTTGCCTTCAATAACATCAGCTCCGCCGTCCTAAGAAAGCCACTTTTCATCGTGCACGAGCCTTGCCAACCACCTCCGGTGAAGAACATGGGGCCTAAGAAGGTGCAGGTAGGGCTGTTCTGGATGAATCATCTCGATGGCCTCGCTATAGGCTGCTTCCAAACTGCTGAGCTGGCTGGGAAATGAAGGGGGCTTTGTTGAGTTTGTCCTGCTGTATTCAGCACAATGAAGTCCCTGTGAGGGCTCTGAAGCGGGGTCCCTAAGCAGGGAAAGCCTGGCTTGGGAGGGAGGCCTAGCTTCTACTGGGTGAATAAGTCTTTTATTAACCTATATGACTGACGTTGAGCGCAGCTTGCTTTGAGTAGCTTTTTTCTTTTCTTTCTTTTTTGATTATATACGGAGTGATGGCATTTTCAGTCAAAAGGAAAATCGACACCAAAATGAAAAGAAATGACCAATTATATGCTGAGTACTAAATACAGAGCAGAAAAAAAATTCAGGCTGCCTTTTATTTCTTCCACTCCTTTGAGGGCTTTGATTTCAAGCAGTTTTACTTTCAGGTCAAAGGTGTTCAGCCTGACACTTGGGAATCAAAATTCGCTGCTGAGCATTTGCCAAAATACTTTCTCTGATGGATCAGCTGCCAGCCCCATGCCTCTCAGGTCCCAGCAGCCTCAGAGTGCAGTGGACTTCAAAGAGAGTATGGGGTTGCCCTGGGCAGGCTGTGGCCTTCAGGTGTCCATGTCCCTGGAGGCAAGACCTTTGTAGCTCTCGAGGCCAGCATTCCATGATGCCAGCCTGTTCTGTGCCCTCTGTGTGAGGGATGGACCAAAATGAGGGGTTCTAGGGGAAGACCACAGCTCACAATGCTCCAGCTGGAATTCTTGCTCTGTGGCAAAGCCGATACTGTCCTTTGTTTGATTTTGTTTTGTTTTAAGGAATATTTTGTTATTATTGTTGTCTTATTTCATTTATTTTTATTTTATTTTGAGACTGGGTATCACCATTTAGCCCAGGCTATCCGTGAATTCGTTGTGTTACCCAGGCTATCCCAACACTCTCAGTTTTCCTACCTCGGCTTAATCTGTAAAACATTTTCATTTGAGTTTTTCTATAAGAAAGGAAAACAATATTGATGACTCCATTTGTTTTTTATACTTCTTGTGTTTTCTAAAAGTATAAAGAAAAATGGAACTGTATGAAATCCAAACAGCAGGAGATAGGTGTATTTATTTTAAATGTTTTTATTGCATAAAAACATTTCTTTATTATTTTAAAATTATGTGAGTGTTATGGATATGTGCATATGAGTGCAGGTGCTTGCATGGCCAGCAGAGGGCATCGCGTACCCTGGAGCTGGAGTTATAGGAGAATATGCTTGCCCAGCATGACTACTGGGAGGAAAACTTAGTTCCCCTGCAAGAGCAGAAAACACTCTTAACCCCTGAGCCCTTTCTCCAGTTCCCTGCTCTTGTTTTGTTATATGTTGGGACAGAGAGAGAGAGAATTTTGAATATGTGTGTCTATCACAAAAAATTGAATCATTGTATTATAGCATGACCACGGTCTCTTATTACATCATCTTGACTTCTGATTTTTAATGATGACATATACTGGATCATATGTACAAATTCTACACCATTTCCCAGCATCCTCATTACTGAACCTTGATTGTTTCTAACTTTCTATTACTGCAAATAGCATGTGACCCTCTATGCACACGTCTTTAGCGTGAAACATTTTGGTGCACATATTTTTCTTCATGTCTTTAGTATCTCCATGTCACAGAGCTGAGGGACAGAATGCCTCTCAGGAAATGTATTTATTTGTGTCTCCCAGGTGCTACTGTGTACCCCAGTTTGCCAGCATGCAGAGCCAACTCCTACTCCAATGAAAATTGTATAGTTTTAATGTATTTCATCATTTTAAATGTGTATATAAGGTCTGAAAATTGAGAGTATTACAATTTGCCATTGCCCACGTGAGTCTGGAAGCTTTATTGCAAGTCCTATAGTGAAATCAGGTTTAGAGTAGAAACAATGAGAAGAATTGAACAGTGAACTAAATAGTGTAGAAAACTCGAAAGATAAATTTTCCAGTTATAAGACTAATAAATTCTTTCTTTTCCTATTTTTAAGCATTCTAGTCTTTATATCATTTATGTTTTCTTTATAATAAACTATATTTCAACTAAATTTTAAGATTAAATGTCCCAGTCAGTAGTGGGATGAGGAAAGCCAATGCCTTCTTTTATCTTTAGATACATTTTGTTAAAACTTTTCCATATATTTTATTTTCATCATATTTTCCCCCTCTCCCCCACTTCTTCCAGATCCTCCCCATCTCCCTATCCACCTAACTTCATTTTCTCTCTTTCAAAAGAACTAGAAAACAACAAAAATCAAAACATATAAACCAAAAAGAAAATCAAGAACAGGGAGATATTAAAACAAAACAAAGAAACACACAAAAATTTGGAGACTGTTTTGTGCTGACCAACTACTCCTGAGCATGGGGCTTGCCCTGGAGTACGGTCCTATGAGGAGAGGAAGGGGAACTGAAACAGGAGGATTAAATGGGGGAGGAAAATGTGATGGCTGTGTAAAAGAGGGAATATGGGGAGGGACACTAACATTATAGTTGCTAAATTCTTGGAATTCCCACTTCTCCATAGATTTTTCTCTTTCCAATTAAATGGAACCACCTCCAGGGGGAGCCCTTGCACCTAGCATCAGCCCCAGAACAGGAGGGGCCCAGGCTGGACAGTCTCCCTCCTAAGGTTGGCTCCCCTGGAATGCTTTTCCACATTCAGGGCAAATACCAAAGTTGGGCGAGGATGTTGAGGGGCGGATTATAGCTAGTTCCAGGGGATGGGGAAAAGGACGTAAGGATCTTGGGAAGAACAGCACAGCTCTGAGTACCATAATATACAAACAAATAACAGATAAACAATTAAATGAAATTCTAATGTAAGCAAATCGAGTAACCTTTTCCTTTGACATTTTTCCATCAGTTTAAAGCTTGAAAGGTTATGAGGATGTAAGTATAATACTTACTTTTCTTTTTATATTTCCAGTGTCTCCTTTTGTCTGTAAAATAAGTGCACTAATGCTATCTAAAGCCCAGTTCCAGGTCTCCTCCTGCAACTTCGCAGACAAATGATTGGGGACTCACAAGTGACACTTCCCAACAGCTTGCTGTACCCTCAGGGTTGGTGACCCTTCCCTGACATGACCTCTCCTGTCAATTCACAGATTTGGAGGTCTCAGCCCCTGAGACTTGCTGTGACATTTGAAGCTGCAGTTCTCTGTAACATTTCCCAAGGGCTTTCCTACTCCTGGAGTGTTGTGGATGCTGAGGCGACTGCTGTCACCCTCCATGCTGCTGTCCACACCCACAGACAGACCATCAGGCTCCCAAGCTACACGCTGGAGTGTGGGAACTACACCGCTGTGGCCAAGGTGGGCTCACTCACTGTTCCTCAAGCCCTGTCAAGCCAACCGACCCTTTCCACAAGCCCCAGAGAATGAAAGGGAAGTCTTTTCATTTTGTCTTGGTTTGGTTTGATTTGTTTGCTTGTTTGTTTGTTCTAAAAAGTGTGGGTAAGACTTTAAGAGAGATCTTTTATTTCAGCTAGAAAAGTGGCTCATTGGAGAAGAAACATTAGCTGTACTATGCAAGCAAGAGGAACTGAGTTCAAATACCCGACACCTACGTAAAACGGGCAGGCATAGCAGTGTGCAGTGTGCGCCTGTAACCCCAGTATTTGTGGGGGGAGGCAAAGACAGATGAATCCCTCATGGTCTAGGCTGCTGCATGCATCACACACACACACACACACACACACACACACACACACACACACACACACACACACACCTGTTAATTTCCCCCAGAGAATATATGTTCTAATGTTGGTCAAGTAATCAATGAAAATCTACCTTTTTAAAGACACCTTTCCTGTGCACCTACTTTGAATAAACCCTGTGCTGATGGAGGAATGGAAGGATATTGATGCTGCCATTTAAGGGTTAAGAACGGAAGATGTCCACCAGAGGGCAGGGCCATGAGAGAAGTACCTCAGCCAGTTCTATGTTTGGGGCTGGAAAATGATATAGAATCACATGAGGGTAGAAAAAGGAAGTCATCGCTTTGAGTAGCTTCATGAAGGAGGGCCGTGAACAGTGTTCACAGATGTAGAAACAGGACAGAGTGGCCACAGGTTGGCCTAGTGCAGTGACTAGAACCAGGAAGAAGGCCCAGGGGTCAGATTGTAGTGCAGTGGGAAGACCAGGATGAGGAAGTGCTCTTTGGGACCCAAATCTCTGCAATGGAGGGGGGGGCATGTTTTCACTGTGTGAAGTACCTAGTCCCGTAGAGGACTGGTCCTAGCCCAGGTCTCAGGAAGCTCATCAGAAAGTGCCCAAACACCCAAATTTACCTTTGTATCCCTCAAAGAAACAAGTCTACAGGGCCTGTTGTGAACAGTGGCTCATTTTCTCACTGTTCCTTGATGATCTCGTTAAGAACCAGATGCTGACAACTGGCTGGGTGACACAGGGCCATGGCTTATGCTCTGAGAAGCCCTGTGTTGGTTGTAGGTGGCAGAAAAATCCTTCTTCTAAGCAGGGTGTATGGTTCTCTTTGGAAACATTGACTGAGAGGTAGCAGATTTTATTTTCATGAGAGCAGATTCCTAGAGTGATGCCTTTAGGTCATCCTGATCCTGTCATAGTCTAGAGGAAGCCCCCAGGTTGCTATGGGAACTGGCCTGTTTCAGCCCTCATGTGTTGGTGCCCTGGTAGAAACATGAGAAGGTGGAGAATGTTCCTAGATGGGGCCTACCTAAGACAGTTTGCCTTCTCAGATAAGCCCCATACTGGTGTGAACTTGGCTTTGCAGATGGCTAAGTACTGATGTCACTTTTAGAAGACATCACCATTATTTTGGATTCTTCATTAATAGCAGGTCAGAAGGAAAGAGGTTGAAGCCAAGAGGTCTCCTTCTGTACATGTCGGGAGACTATGGGTCTCAGATTATAGCCAAGGAGATGGGTAAAATACTGAACGAATAAGCCCAGGCTCTCATATAGCTGCTAGAAGGGTAAGGGCTCATGGCTGGGGCCAGTATCCATCCCCTATTCACTATCTGTTGGCTCATCTGCTCATTCGCTGTATCCGACTCTCTAGCAGGTGCCCTGTCTGTGTCTCGGATTGGCGACCCTCTGATGAAGCATTTTTTCTGCCTGCTCTCATCGGTTTGTGATACTCGGGTGTCAGACCTCAGGTTCCTGCCCCTGACACCGTTGCCCCTTCCACAGCAGCTCCACTGGCCTTCACAGACATGACAGCTGCTCAGAACTTGCTCGTCCCTGCAGTGTGTAGCAAGAACAGGCTAGGGTTTAAGAACAGGCTAGGGTGTATGAGGATGCTTCAGCTGCACATTATTTCTCATTGTGGCAACATGCCAGACAAAGGCGACTTAAGGCAGGGTTGATTTGGGTTCTCGATGAAAGGGTACAGTCCATCACGGTGGTGAGGTGTATGACATGAGTGTAAGGTGGCCGGTCACATCGTATCCTCACTGGGGAAGCAGAGACAGTGTAACGCTCACTTTGCTCTCTCCTTGGCACTCTTCCTGGATCACAATGTATGCCCTGCCAACATTCAGGGTGGTCTTCTCTCCCCAGTTCACCCGTTCTGGAAACACCCGTAGGAACACACTCCAGAGTGTTTCTGTGATGACTCTAAATCCAGTTCAGTTGATGATGAAGACTAATCCTCATGGACGTATCATCTATCCATCATCTCTAGTCCTGCTCAGGGGAGTGGCCAGCAGACAGCTCAAGTGACCATAGAAAGACAATCCAGAGTGGAGGCTGAAACCCAGAGAAAGGCACAGCAATTGTTGCATGTGTATTTTTTTTCCAAATATCATCAAGATTTTTAAAGAATACTTTGAATGAATACCGACCTTCCTTGCAACATGTTTTAGTAATTCTAAGCTTAAAAATATTCCTCATATATTTAAATTGCATTTCTCAGAGACCATTGTGTGTTTTACCCCCACCTCCTTGGCTGTCTCCTGAAATGCACAGAAGGGGAACCTTCTGGCTTCACTATGAACCCCTTTCCTTCCTAACAGATGGAAAAGGGTAAAGGGAGCCAACAAATGCCAAGACCATGGAGAAACTTACTGTTGACAGTAGAGGTTTGAAAACTGCCAGCCATGTGTACACAGGGAGCATGGGTATTTGAGTCATCACAAAGTTCACACACTTTGTCTTACTTTGCTTTCTAGTGCCATGATAAACACCAAAACCAAAAACAAGTTGGGAAGGAAAGGGTTTATTTGGCTCACATATCCTGAATCACAGACCATTGAGGGAAGAAGTCAAGGCAGGAACTCAAAGCAGAAACCTGGGGCAGAAACTAAAGGAGAGACTGTGGAGAAATATTGCTCACTTTTCCTGGTTCATTCAGTTTGCTTTCTTATACACCCCAGGACCACCTGTCTAGGGATGGTGCCACCCACAGTGGCCTGGGCCCTTCTACATCAATCACCACTTAAGAAAATGCTTCACAGGCTTGCCTATGGGCAAATCTGATGGGGGCATTTTCTAAATTGAGACTTACTCTTCTCTAACCACTCTAGCTTGTGTCAAGTTGACAAAAATACTGACCAACACACACCTAGATAACTCTCCATTTAGGCAGACTTAGATATTAAAAGATCCATGCTCTTCCCTCCAGCCATATCCTCAGATGAACACTGTCGGTGACTACTGTAGTTAGATGTATAGGTCCAGAAAGCATCTGTTTTGCTCTCATGTGCTACCCCCTTGCCTTTGGTCTCTCAGGTTCAGATCAAGGGAAGCATAGTATATAGCAACTACTGTGTTGGTGTGGAGGTTCGAGCCCGGGCTCCTGTCAGCGTGATCTCTGAAGGCACACACATCTTCATCCCCAGGTCCACCACAACCTCCATCATCCTCAGAGGGGTCCAGTCCTATGACCCTGACAGCCCAGGAGCTGCTCTTAGGTAAGAACACAGAGCTGTGAGGCTCTCAGGCGCCTACTTCTTCAAACTCTGGCTCAGGAATATTAGGAGAGTTAGTCTGGGAATTCTGCCAACATAATTTGAGACACTTATGTGTAGCAGCTTTCTTTAGTTGAAATGCTTTAGTCATTAGCCAATATAGGAAAGTGTGAGTATCTTGTTTAAGGTAATACTTAAAATTCGATATTGGAATGCACGTTGTAAATGCTCCCCTTTCACTGGGCCTCCTTAGTCAGATGCCCTTGTGTGGGGGAGGCAAAGGGCTGCCTGTAGAGTAGTGTGGTTCCACTCTGCGGTCCCAGGCTCTGGCCCAGAAAGCCCAACAAGAGGGCCTTTCCCAGTCTTCTGAGGTGGTCCTCTACCTTCTGGCATTCACCCTCTCTGCAAACAGCCCTCCCATAGCCCCAGACTCACGTCCTCCACCAATCTGCTCTGTGCTGTGCATGGCCACTACCTGTGTGCCCCTTTCCTGTGCCTCAAATCACCCAGCCACAAACTCCACATCTTCCCACTGTCTTCCCCACCTCTGTCCAGGAAACAGTGTTTTTTTTTTTTTTAAGTTAAAAATGATTTTTATACAATATATTCTGATCACCGTTTCCCCTCCCTCATATCATCCCAAATCCTTCCCCCTCCCCACACATCCAAATCCATGCCCCTGCCCTTGTCTCTCAAACAGGTAAATAAACCAGAACAAAAAAAAAATAAGAAAGAAAAAGCACAAGAAACATATATACATGCTAACACACACACACAAATAAAACCCATGAAAACACAAAACCAGAAACCATAACTAACATACAAGCAAAAGCTCAGTTAGGTTGAAAAACAAAACAAAACAAACAAACAAAAAAACTGTCCAAACTAAGCAATATAAGAAAAAAAAAAAAACAACTCCAAAAGTACCATTGAATTCATTTTGTGTTGCCCATCTACTGCTGCCCCTAACTGTGATTTGTATACACAGTGAGGCTCTATGGAAGGAAACTGAATGTTCCCTTTTGAGCATTTGTCCATTAGAGATAGCTTCTTGTTTGGGATGGGGGTTCATGTCCACTTCCCTCTCTTAGTGCTGGGACCCCAAGGAAACGTTTCTTCTAGTCACTCAGACCAAAACTTTCCTCAGAGTCTTTAGCGTCTTTCTCTCTCACACTCTGTGTCTCCTCTGTCAGGAAATCTCATTAGGTCTCCCATAGGAACCAGCGCCCCCCGCCCCCCACTTCCCCTGCATTGCCTGGGTGGAGCCACCAGGGCCTCAGTTTACGTCCATTCTCAACTGCAGCCAATCCTCCAAGACAGGATGTTGTTTTCTAGAAAAGGTTAGATGCCCTTACTTCCCTGCTCTGACCTTCTTCACCCCCATTTGACTCAGAGGGGAAGCCACTGTCCTGTCTGCCACGAATCCTGTCTTAACCTTACTCCCCACTCATGTGGCTGCTGTTCATTGCCTTCCTTCATTGAGTTTAAGTTCAGAGCAGCAGGACCCTCACTGGATACATCCCTGCCCCGTGCCTGACAGCAGAGAGGTCCCTATGTTGTTGTAACGCCTGCTGTGATCCTGCGTGGTTGCCACACCCAAGTGTGGGATTTGGTGCTTCATTAGTGCATCGGAGGCGAGAGGTGCCCCTCCCCACTCCAGCTGTGCACACGCTGTAGACACAGCTCTCAGCTACCAGTTCTTCACCCCCCAAGCCAGACAGACCAAGGCTGTGTCTCCATCATCTTCACACCGTCAAGTATTAGGACTCATCATAGTGCCTGAAAACACGAGAGCTCGGGGTCTCCTGCTAATGTGCTTCTGGGCAGTAAGGAATCTTTTGGAGGGAATCATGGGACGGTTTCTCTGTGCAGCTTGAGAACGGCACTGGACACTGAGTTCTGGTGTGCCCCAGGGATGCCTCTTCCCAGCGGAGGTTAAGAGGCTGCTGCAGTACCCCCTCAGAATGCAGTACCTGCAGGCTAAACACGGAAATGGACTTTTAAAGGCTCAACGGCAGTTCAGGTTTAAGAGACACTTAGGGAAGCGGGTTGCCATGGTGAGACTGGCCCAGCTTGCCAGTGCCTTTCCATACCGTTTCCTGCCTGCCACATGCCTGTTTAAATGTGTCTCCCTCTGTGGATTAAGATCTGCTCAAAGCTGGGGTGATGCCGTCTCCCACTCCACCCCGATGGTGCAACCATCTTCGTCTTGTGGCTCAAGCAATTATCAGGTTCCAGGGAGATGGTGAGATGGAAAGAGAATGAGCTCGAGGTTCCTGCTGGCCCCACTTTTCACCAGCCCTGAGTGAAACAGGGCAGCTCCCCCAAGGCCTCTACCAAGGTGTTTCCTTCCTAAATGTGGGATAGTGTGACCTTCCTGTCTTTCCGTGTGGCGGTGTCTCAAAGACGAGATGCAGCGCTGGCAGAGTCAGCGTGAGGGATTCCTTCTAGGAACTGCAGGGCTGTGTTACTTATGAGCAGGGGGAGTCACCAAACACAGGGAGGGTAAGGAGTGAGTGGACAGAGTGGCTCCAGGGCCAGGGTGCAAGACACAAGGCAGCCGGAAGCAGAACTCTAGGTGGAGTACGGTGGTCTTTGTGCCAGGGAGTGGGAGAGACAGGCCCAGCTCCTGTCACTGATGTCAAGGAGTGAGGGGTATCATTTCTTCCCAGCCACATGTGCCTTTAACACACAGTGATGCTGACCACGCCCCTCCAATGGCTTCTTCAACAGGTATCACTGGACCTGCACTGCAGCCAGCTTGCCAACGTCCTGCTTTGAGGACTCTACTCCATACCAAGTGGACACTCAGGCTCCTGCCATTTCCTTCCCAGCAAAATGGCTCAGTGAATGCTGTGACCAGTTTCTTGTGACATTGACAGTCTCCAGCAATGGACGGAACTCTTCGCAGGCTGTGATATTCCTGTCCACCCATCCTGACCCAGACTTCAGGTACCCTTGCCCTGGTCATATGTAGCTGAGCACTCTGGCTGGTGACGGCAGCTTGAAAGGAGTCTGTGTCTATGGAGAACAGTGTAAAGTTAGGCCATGTGGGGACCACACCACTAAGGAAGAAGGTGGTGGCCAGGGAGGGGGTAGCGTCTTGGATAACTCTGCTGTCTCTTGGGCTAACAGTGACACATCAGTGACTCTAAATGATATTGCCAGTGGGTCTGTCCTGTTACAGCACCCAGCCCCAAGATGGAACACCAATGCTTGAGGATGATGTTAGAGGGTGGTAAGGCAATCTGATTTCCAGACTTGGGAGACTTCTGGGGATTGCAGGATTGAAGGGATGCAAGTGCAGGTCCAGTTGTGACATCTTAGAGCATGAGGGATTACAAAGTGATGCTAAGAACCCATAAGCTCTTCATCACCAAGGCTACCAAAGTACTCATGTGTACAGCCCCAGAGACCAAAAGCAGGTACCAGGACTTGAGTTGAGCAGCCAGGATATGCAAGAACACAGAAGCCTCTGGGTTCCCCCCTTCAAGGTCTAGGTTATATGTGACTGAACAGGGGCTGAATTCCAGGGGAACCAACTTTGGGAATAGCACACGATTTACACATTCCTGAGACTAGCACACCTGAACACTTACGAATAGTTTATTTCTGGAATTTTCCATTTAATGTTTCAGATGTTGATTGACTGCAAGTAACTGAAACTATGGACAACAGCTACTGCATACATGTGTATAGAGAGAGAGAGAGAGAGAGAGAGAGAGAGAGAGAGAGAGAGAGAGAGAGAGAGAGAGAGAGACAGAGAGACAAAGAGAGAAACATGTGACAGGCTGATTTCCTTTGAGGAAGCAGCAGTCCTGCCCTGCCCTGGTCCTTCTTGCCTCCTCCACTTGGCATTACATGGTGAAGCCATGGCTTGGGATGTGTCGTGAATCCTGCATACCACTTAGAAAGTCTTCTTTGTACTCAGCCTTTTAAAGAATCCTCACATCCTATAGGAAAGGAATCCACATGACGAGGTCCAACATATTCTCTCACACCACCTTATGATGTCCCAAAGAGCCAGAGTTCATGAAATGCCTTTTAGGACTCATCCCTGGGACAGAAAAGAGCCTGGAGAGATTGCCAGGTTGTAGCTATAGTGACTCAGAAACGTGTGTATGAAATGTGGGACTGGGTAAGGTATGGTCCCGTGGGCATTGTAGGGCATGGGGCAGCTCATGACCCAGTAGCCCTGCCCAAGTGAGAGGCAAAGCTGAGCCAGATGGCTGTGGCAAAGGCAGGTGTCTTGGAAAGGCCCAGGTGTAAGTGGGTTATAGCTATGGAATCAAGCATGTGGTGAAAAGCTAAAGAGATAACTCAGGTATTGACTTCTGCATTTGGATAGCATGGCCGGAGCTGAGGCTGAGTGACAGAGAGAATAAAGCCCAGGACTATTTGACATGGAGGAAGTCTCACAGCTTCCCTGAACTTGGGAAGGTGTGGATGTGCTCGTCTGGTGAATTAGGTCAAACCATGCTGTGTGAAGTGTGGAAGCTGGTCACATGGTCTGTGCTCCCCTACACAGGTTCTGATGAAACATTCAGTTCTCATAATACAGAGCCAGGACAGATGGTCCAAACATGGCCATCCCAAATGCATTCAGCCTAAGGATGCACATGGTATTTTCCTACAACATCAAAGTGATTGCCTGTTCCAGATTCGTCCACATCTCATGGGTCAATTTTAGAGACATCCGTGTAAACTGGAATGAAGAACTGTCTCTCAGAGCTGTGTGTGAAGACTGTGGAGATGTAGCCGACCTCACTTATTCCTGGGATCTCTTCCTAGTCAATGCAACAGAAAAGAATACAGTGGAAGGTAACGTGGTTACTCTTTTTCTGAGGAATGAAAAAGCTCAGGGTTGTTCTGTAATTGATGAACCAATGCATCTAACCTAACCAAGGCTAGGACTTCATCTCACTTCAGCCCTCCAGATACCTAGTGATGGTCCAAAAATTGTTTCTCACATATGTGCTCTAAGGAGGCTGGGCCCAGACTCACTTGGGTTGTTTTATTGGTTGAGAATCACAGGAAGCCATTGCAAAGGATCTGTGATGAAGCTCACAATCCAGAGCTGTGGCCCTTGGAACCGTGACATATGTGGTGGGTCTGTGCTCCACTTTCCTGACATGCAGCTCCTAAAATCTTTGGCCTCTTCAGTATGACAGTGCTTTTATATGCTAATGAGCTGACAGGTGGCTAGGAGCCCCTGAGTATCTTTGAGGTGAGGCTTGACCATCCCAAACATTGGAGCAGGATGATGCAATCCACCATGTCTGTGTAACAAAGCTTCCAGTAGACCCCTGTAAGGGTCACTGGTGGAGGGTGGAGTTCCAGAAAGGGGCGGCGGCTCAGGCCTCCGCTCACACACCTCACCCTGTGAACCTCTGAGCCTGTATCCTCTGTAACATCATTTATAGTTGGTCTGTGAATGTGTTTCCCTGGACTATGTGAGCTTCCGTAAGAGGGGATAATGGGAACTCCTGTTTAGCTTCAAAGAACCATAAAACCACGTGGGCATTCAGAGGCAGGATAGGTGGAGAACCAAGCTCTCAGGCTGTGTCATCCAGTGCAGTGGCCGGGTAGACAGCATGAGGACTGGATTGGAGGACGCCAGCTGATGATGCTTCAGAGTGGCTTGCTGCTAGTGGGGAGACATTTCCATATCATGTGGGCATCTAAGAAGCCGTCTGTGTGGTGAGACTAGATGAGCTGAGTCTGAGCCCGTCTTATCTGCCCACTCCCTCCTGACCTGCCTCTCTGGGACAGATGCCCAGCAGGAGCTGGTTCTAGCTTTCAGTCTATACTGCCAAATACTTAGGTGAATGATGGTGATCCAATGTGTCACTCTAAATGGGAAACTGATGAGGCGCACTGAGCACGGGAACAGAGTTTATTTAAGTCCCAGTGAAGATGGCTACAGGGAGAAAACAGGAACTGTCGTTACTCAGAGTAAGTGCTCCTGAAATGACACCAGAGGGTCTCTGGTGTTTACACCCTAGGGCAGGCATTGCATATCAAACTGGTTGTTAGAATTGCATTGGTCAGTAGCAAGAGCACAGGATGTGGACCAGCAGTGATGTGAGGCATTCCAGAAGTAAGGGAGGAGCTTCACTATGATGTGTGTTGTTTCCTCCATGTTAGGATGTCTGAAAAAATCCACAGGCTGATTGGAATGACCCGGGGGTCTGTGGTCTCAGGCCTCACATTGGCCTGGGCTGAAGAATGTTGTGAACTTGTTCTTACCCCCTTGTTCATCCTTTCTCATACTGTTTCACAGAGTAGTGGGATGCTGAGGAGTGAGGCTGAGTTTCAACAGAGAGTGACGCAGAAGAGCTGGGTTTCTGTGCTGGAATATCCAGCACTGCTCAGCCCCCGCTGGCTGGCTGCCATGTTTTCTTTAGTCCATCTGAGGCTCTTAGAAAACCTTTTAAAGCAGAGCGTATAGTACCCCCCAACACTCACACACAATGGGAACATCCAGTGGGATTGTGTCCCACATTGCAGGAGAGGGGCTTCTGAATTCTTTAAGACAAACTAGACCTCCCTGAATCAAAGGCCAGAGTGTAAGTGAGGACCTGTGGTAGCGACCCTGACAATAGTTAAGCTACAACAAGGCCAGTGCTGCCTGAGGTTGATGTGTCGCAGAGAATTCTGAATAGGGTTCCCATCATCCCCGCTTGCAGTAGCTCATGGAACACAGGGAAACAAACCACTAGTTCACTGTAAAGGACACCACAGAGGACAGAGATGGAGAGGTCCGTGCTGGTCAAAAACAAAAGCTGCCTTTTAAGGAAGCTCTTTCTGTCTGTGAATTTTTGTTGTTTTTGATCCTTTATCATAATTCCTAGAGATGCTTTTTAGAATTATTTACTGAATCCTCAATGTCAGGGAGGGGAATGATGAGTGGGAGAAATTCCTTCCAGAATACACAGTCACTCACACAGTGGGCTCCAGAACCTGGTAGGGTGACCCTCTAGTCTGAATGTAGACAGGAGAGAGCAAGTTCCAGGGAAGGAATAGGGAGTTCCTTTTCCTTCTTGCTCATATTTAGGTTATATATTGGCTCCCACAGCACCAGTCCAGAACCGTGTGCCAGGGCCTTGCTCTGAGCATCAGGTTTCCATGTTAGGCTCATTTAAAGCAGAGTAGTGTTTCCCCAGGAAGATGCGAACAAGTGTTCATTCACCCCAGCTAGGGCACCAAGATACACCACTGATGAGTCTATTCAAGTCAGGGGCATCAATGAAGGGCTAGTGACAGGCGCGTAGGTGACTTAAAAACAGGTATGCCACCCAAAAGGCCACCCCAGCATGGGCGATGACTCATGAATGCTGCCACACTGCAATCCCACCCTATGCACTCTAGTGCCCACCCCCAGACCACCTGCGGTTGGGAGAAATGGCTGGAATGCCAGGTGAGAATCCTGGGGCCTGGCTCCCTGCTTCTACTAGAGAGCTTTGGCAGCCAAGTCCCCACTGTCTCTGTGCTTCTTGTGTTTCCATGACTACGGAGGTTACTGCAGCAACCTCAGCCCCGTGAGGGCAATGGTCACCCCAAGCTCACAGGAAATATCTTTACCCACCAACCTGTATGTGTTTTTATTTTTAACGTGTGTGTGTGTGTGTGTGTGTGTGTGTGTGTGTGTGTGTGTGTGTGTGTGTGTGTGTTGGATGGGGATGTCATAGTGCATATATTACAAAACTTCTGGTTATCAGATTAAGGTCACCAAGCTTCTGCAGCAAGCACCTTTACCATACCAGCTGAGCCATCCTGCACTGGCCCCATAGCCTGCATATTTAAAAAAACAAACAAAACATATCCTGTATTTTCAGTGCGGAATTTTAACCCTGTCACACCTGTGTTTAAGTTCCCTTCTGTAGCACCGTGGGGCTGCTGGGCGCTTCAGCATTTGGGGACATTAAGAAGTTGTCTAAGTCAGACCTGCAGTCAAGCCCCAGAGGATCACAGACACTACACTCACTAGAGCGGTCACCTATGCCCCTGAGCTGGTCAGCTCTTCACAACCTGGGAAGCATTTCCACTGAGTCCATGGCAGGTGGCCACCACATTTCTGCTGGGGGTTCCATGGCAGGCTCAGGGGAGCCTATGGAGGATGACAGCTCACTGAGTCCAGCACCAGGTTCCCTGGAGGAGGAAGCTTTTATGATGAGCACCCCAGAGGGAAGCTGGTCCCCTTCCAGCTCCTCTCCTGCCTCTGATGGTAAGTGCCACCATCTCTACACATTGTCCCTTGTATCTAGACACCAGACTCACCTGGGAAGCAGTGAATGGAATGGGACAGTCACCCCCACCTTTGTCCTGAGTCTAAGAGTACTATGTTCATACTCAGTGCAGAGCCCAGTTCCAACCTCAGGGTAATAAAATAGTATTTTGTTTTTGTTATTTTGAGATAGGATCTAATGTAGCCCAAGCCTTCAATTCCTTATGTAGTTAAGGCTTGAATCCCTGATCCTCCTGTCTTCAATGTTCAAGCACTGGCATTATTGGCATGTGCCACTATGGCCCAGCTTAGGGATAGTTTGTTCTTGACCCAAATATGAGTGACAGTGGTCCAGGAACACAAAGGTTATATACTCTTAATGATGTGTTCCACAGTGAACGTGGTTACATGATATTTGATTAGTTGTTATTATTATACAAAAAAGAAAGTTGTATAGGGAGAGGGAACCACAGTCAGGTAGGGGAAAAGTCCTGACAACATTTTTAGCTGTGGATTGGTAGCAAATAGTCCTCTGCTGAGAATACATTTTTTTTTTTTTTTTTTTGGTTTTTCGAGACAGGGTTTCTCTTTGTAGCTTTGTGCCTTTCCTGGAGCTCACTTGGTAGCCCAGGCTGGCCTCGAACTCACAGAGATCCGCCTGGCTCTGCCTCCCGAGTGCTGGGATTAAAAGCGTGTGCCACCACCGCCCGGCATACGCCACCACCGCCCGGAGAGAATACATTTTAAAGGTTTTACTGATACTCAAAAAGGTGTTTAGTCAGACATGGTAGTGAATAATGAATGATGATTTTAAGGGACTAAAACATGGTTTGGATAGTTTGGCTCTGATCTGAAAAATTCTAACTCTGCACAATCATGAAGTTCTAATCCTCTGGCCTTACAGGATCTTGGGGGTGGGGGAGGGGCTTGAGTCTACAGCGTTCAGCACTCACTAATTGTGTCTTCAAATGACACGCAATTTTTCCTTCTTGTGTAGATTTTGAAGCCTACTATAGTGACATCCAAGAAGACGTGCCGTCCCTAGGAAGACAGCCAGGTGACCACTTTTACGATTGTCCCCATGTAGAACAGCCCTGCACCCAGGCTCACTATGCACCAGCCCTCCTGGATGCTCCAAGTTTGTCCTTCTATCAAGGCTACCTAAAACTCCCCCAGGGAATTTTCAAACAGAGACTGTGAGCTCCTCTTCCTGGCACAGACCTCTCTCCTGGCCCACTTACTGCTGCATATTTTGAACCCTCTGCTCCCACACTTCCTGTGGTCTCAGGCCCAACAGTAGGCGATCCAGACCCGAGGTGCCTTGCATGGCGACCATCAGCTGGTGGGCCTCCCTGACTGCCATCTCCACCTTGCCTCCTTGCTCATCATCCTCCTTGCAGGTTCCCTCTCCCTCCCCTCTTTGAATTCTCCCTCAGCACTGTGATGACCCCCATCAGTTCACTGTTTCTACCCCTACCTCTTCTAAGCAGGTGGCTTCTGGGTCAACAATGTCTTTCTGTGTCTATCTCATATACACTTGACATCCTCACAAAAACTTCACGACTAGCTTATGCTTGTGTCCCCAGAATCATCTTGATGCCCAGTGCATCATTGAACACAGGATGATCAACGTGTCATGTAAAGAGGTGTATGATCAGTTGGTGATCTATGTTTCTGAAGAATAGACAGACAAGGAGTAAACACTGGCTCTACCTATCCAGTGAAAGATAGATAATTGGAGTGTGCTATATCTCCCAAATGAATGGGCAGGTGACTAATTTGTTGTCAGAACAGGCAGATAATGAATAGCTGACTTATTTTTAGAGTGATTAAATGGTTAGGTTAATATGTTGGTCCTCTGATTCACTGCCTCTGACTTAGAGTTTTTTTCAGCCCCTCTTGTCCCTCCTGTGTGTCATACTTCTTTGTATGAGGTTCTCTTCATAGGTGACCATATGACTAGGGATTGGCTAGATCAGAACAGGTGACATCTTTCTAGCCAGAAAGGCAGGTTTTGCTGCTGTTTGATTTATTTGTAGGATATGAAGACACAACTACATTGGTTACTGGTTTTTGCCTCATGGTTTCACAGGGTTTGGGTTACAGTCACTTGGCCCCATGCCCCTGGGTAGAAAGTCATGTCAGTGGGCGTATATAAAGGGGGTTTTCTCTTCATGGTGGACAGCATACCACCAAGGATCCACCCCCAGTGAGCTCTTCACAACTAGGTTCTATTTTCTAAACTTTCCAGAACCTCCAAAAATAGCAGCACCAGCAGCTAGGAACTGAGCATTTAACATGGGCCTGTGAGGATAACTTCATATTCAAGCCATAAAAACCATACATAAAAAACTAAAACATATAATATATACACAGATCTGTGTCAGGGCTCCCGCTTAGGCATGGCAGGTGCTGAGTCAGTAATAGCAAATGGACAACATAGACATTATCTTACCCTGTTCACAGCATGACTCTTTCTGACAGGAGTCATCCTAATTCCTTCAGAGTTTCTGGGACTCTGTCTTCTTTCCATGGCCTTCTTTGAAGTCTTCAGTCAGTCTAGCACTGTCCCCTGACATTCCTCCCCAGACTATGCTGTGGCTTTCTGCCTCTGTGCTTGCTGCCTGCAATCATACCCCCTCCACACAGCAGCCACGCTGCCTGCAATCATGCCTCCACACAGCAGCCACGCTGCCTGCAATCACACCTCCACAGCAGCCATGCTGCCTGCAGTCAGACCTCCACACAGCAGCCATGCTGCCTGCAATCAGACCTCCACACAGCAGCACACTGCCTGCAATCATGCCTCCACACAACAGCATACTGCCTGCAATCAGACCTCCACACAGCAGCCACACAGCCTGCAATCAGACCTCCACACAGCAGCCAGGGGCCTTTCTCAGGCACAAACCAAATGGCCAGTTTCCTCAGCCACTGGTGGCTCCCTGCCACTTTCAAGACAAATATTTCCTTCGGTGGCCACAGGTATGTCTCAGCCTCACTGCCCACCTTCTGGGCCCCATTCTCTTTCTTCAGCCACCCACAGAGGGCCATTCCCACCACACTTGGTTTCTACTCAACCTGGAGACTTCCTCCAGATCTTCACTGAACTCATCCTTTGCTCTGAATCCCTGCCCACTGCCCCAACAGAAGCCCCATCTCCGACCCCTGCTTCCTTCTGTTCCTCACACTCACTTTCTCTATGAAACTACTGTTTTTCCTCTGTCATTTTATCATTACCTGACTTTGCATTATGAAATTCCAGATCACAAGGTGGAAGGGAGGAAGAAAGGAAGGCGAGGAAGGGGAGGAGGGGGGAGAATACAGAAAGGAGCTAATGGGAGGTGATTATAAGACACTAAAGTACATCTCTTGAATACGCATACTTATTAAAGGCATTGTTTTAAAAGTGCTGTATCCAGCAACCACAGAAATCAGTATTAGCATCAACCTTGAAGCATTCATGCTTCACAAGACTGTAACCTTTCCCATTCTCTCCTGTGGCATGATTTCTCTTCCTAGGCAACAGTGCCAACTTCCAGGAATCAGGACCAAGCACCAGCACCGAGGAGAGTGCCAATGGTGGGGACAACCTACTGGGTCCTTTCCTTCACACAGGCAGAGCAAAGCCAGCTCTCATGGTTGACTGGCCCAAGACCCTGGTCAACCGAGCTGTCTTCCACAACTACACCTCCTCAGGTATGAACACGCTCTTTGTACCCTGGATTCACGGCCATTTCAGAAGAGTTTGGGAACCAGCCCTCAGGTTCTCCCAAGTCTTTTGTCTTAATGAAAGAATGGAACCACTCAGCCTTCTCTACTCATGTCTGTTCTTCTGGGGACCACAGCCCATGGCTCCTTCTCTAAGGATGAAGCTAGCTTCATCTGTCCCCTAGGTGTCCCCAGCTGCAGATCAGTATGGAGCTTCTGATCTGGGTGGCACCCCAACATGTAGATTCTGCCTGTCTTTTTTTTTTTTTTTTTTTTTTTTTGGTTTTTCGAGACAAGGTTTCTCTGTGTAGTTTTGCGCCTTTCCTGGAGCTCACTTGGTAGCCCAGGCTGGCCTCGAACTCACAGAGATCCGCCTGGCTCTGCCTCCCGAGTGCTGGGATTAAAGGCGTGCGCCACCACCGCCCGGCTGATTCTGCCTGTCTTTAAGACCTTGCATAGAGTAGATGTTCCATTTACGTGGATGGATCGAATAAAGCTGGCCCTGTGTGGAAAAGGAATTTTTAGCCTGTCTTCTCTAGCACAGGCATATTTGTTTGTCTGCTCTTGTGGGGCACTGCCTTTCTGAGTACTACACGAGAGTAGGTAACCCCCATAAGACTTTGGGGGAAGCTATGGATTTCATGCTATTTTTCAGGGATTTTCTACTTGCTCTTTCCACTCACTTGTCTTAGGTTTTGGATCTCTCCCAATTTTGAGGAATGCTAAGCAGGATAGGTCAACTTACTTTTGAAGGGGAAAAGTTAAAAACTTTTCATAATCAAAATTCTACAAAAGCTCAATATGTCCATCATATTTTAACAGATAAGTCAAATTTATAAAATAAAAACTCAAACATTGAGCTTACTGTAAATGCACAAAATGAGATCTTACCAGCATTCTCTTATTACTAGGGAAATCTACCTCATTTCTGAGCTGTAGGTGACTGGTCCACCTCAATACTGCTTCTGTTGGATAAGGATGGCCTAGAGATAGGAATTTGGGTTCCTTAAAGAAGGCTGGTACCCCACAGACTAGTGTCCTTCCCAAGTATGAACAGAACATGTGTCTTAGTTAGGGTTTCTATTGCTGTGAAGAGACACCATGACCACAGCAACTCTTATAAAGGAAAACATTTAATTGCAAATGGCTTACAGTTCAGAGGTTTAGTCCATTGTCATCATGGAGGGAGACATGGCAGCATGAAGCTAGACATGGTGCTGGAGAAGGAGCTGAGAGTTCTACATCTTTATCCACAGGCAGCAGAAAGAGACTGTGTCCCACACTGGGTGTAGCTTGATCATATGAAACTTCAAAGTCGACCTCTACAGTGACACACTTCCTCCAACAAGGCCACACCTACTCTAACAAGGCCATAATAGTGCCACTCCCTATGGGCCAATCACACAAACACACGCATCTATGGGGGCCATACCTATTCAAACCACCACAACATGTAACCAGGGTATTTTTTACTCACACCCTTGGAACAAGGGTGGGGCTCACTCCTGGGATCCCACTGACTGCCGCTTCCATGTGGACACTTCCTCTTCTGTAGGTATCATGGGACCAGCTGTGACAATAACACCGTTCTCACTGAGCAGTGGCGAGATGTATGTCTTACAGGCTTCTGTAGGTATGTCAAGGTACAGGTTGGATCTAGTGTGGGGAACCATGAAGGCTTTGGTCATTATATACTTTTTCCTAGAAACAGCAGTGACTCTCTACTGCAACCCCTTGCTCTGGGCCTCACCACTTCCTTCTCCCCTGCTGCCGCCTTCCCATTATTTGTTACTCACATTATTTGCTGTAATGTTCTCCTTTCTTATGGAATCACGTGCATGTTTAGAACAGGATAAACAATGACCAGTTACTGTCCTTCTTGTATGTTTGATTTTTTTGGTAGATACCTAATGTCTTAGGGTTTCTATTGCTGTTGAAGACACCATGACCATGGCAACTCTTATAAATACTTATTTAATTGGAGTGTCTCGTTTACAGTTCAGAGGTTCAGTCCATCATCATCATGGCGGGGAGCATGGTGGCATGCAGGCAGACATGGTACTGGAGTAGCTGAGAGCCCTATATCTTGCAGGCAACAGGAAGTCAACTGAGACATTGGGTGATATCCTGAGCATAGGAAACCTCAAAATCCACCCTCACAATGACACACTTCCTCTAACAAGGCCATACCCATTCCAACAAAGCCACACCTCCTGAAAGTGTCACTCTCTATGAGATTATGAAAGCCAGTTAACTTTCAAACTTCGGCACCTGAGTAGGTCACCTTCACTGCATACATTTGATCCCAACCATGTGTTATTGCCATTGTTCTGAGTGCTCAGTGTGGGCTGGAACTTATCCACACTTACCCTGCTCAGTGCCCCACAACTCTTCCTGTGTTTCCACGACTCAATCTGAAAGCATTCTTTTGGGTAACTTCTAAACATTCCCCCATTTCTGGGGACTTTCAGTCCCACTTAACACACACAGGAGATTCAGGTGATATGCAAAGCAGATGCTTCATCCATTTTTGCATTCATTAGGAACCACCATGAGCCAGGCAATAGAGGCACAGCTGTAATAACAGCAGTAGGGAGCCTGAGGGAGGAGGATTGCAAGTTCAAGGCCAGACCTTACCTCAGAGCAAAAACAGATAAGCAAAACTTAATGTGCACTTCCAATTTTGCCTCCTGGGTTTGTATATACATCCCTCACGGAAGAAACACAAGGCTGTTTGTTTTCTGATATTTCATAGATTGGCTCTGGATACTCACCGCTGCCGTGAGCCTCTGCCTGCCGTGTCTAGACACTAAGCCTCCATGCCTGTTTCTGCCCACAGAGACAATGTTTGCTTCTGTTATATTGGATACCTTTGCTTCTCAGTAGCTCATGTGCCATGTACCCCCTCACCCCAGTTTGGAAACCCCCCAATCAACAAACTAAAAGCCATTCTCTTAGGCCATGTGCCTTCTTTATATGCCTAAGAGTCTCCCCATGATCCCTGGGTCCTGTTCAGTGTCCTCAGCCATCTGGGAGAGTTGAGCTCAGTCTCCAGATGTCCTGCTCAGCTGTCCATCACTTAGCCCACACAAAGCCTCCCTAACAGCTTCACTCTCCTGTGCTCTTCATCACACACACGGCACTGGGTGGCTGTCCTTCCTTGTGTTACTTGGGGGGAATACCCTTGCCCCTATGTCCCTTTCTTAATTTGGTATGCTAGTCACCACCCAGGGTTGCTAGCTTTCATCGCTTCTTCTTCTACGAGGACTGGGCAGTTCAGCAAGGCCGAGCTAGTCACTGTATCCTCTTGGATTTCACTTGTGTTGAAGGGTCTATTCTCTGTGGTTGGTGTTGTTATGCCACTGTTAAATCCGGAGAACAGGCCCAGTGTTCGGCCTGCCAGAGCCACATGAACAGTCCCCATGGGACCTGATGAGGATTTTTGACAATGTGATATAGAAAGCTCCAGCCTGTAATTTATCCTGAGAATATATTACTTTTTAAAAAAATTGTGAAAGATAATAAATTATTTTTTTAATTTTATTTTATTTTACAATACCATTCAGTTCTACATATCAGCCACGGGTTCCCCTGTTCTCCCCCTTCCCACCACCTCCCCTTCCCCCCAGCCGACCCCCATTCCCACCTCCTCCAGGGCAAAGCCTCCCCCGAGGACTGCTATCAACCTGGTAGACTCAGTCCAGGGAGGTCCAGTCCCTTCCTCCCAGACTGAGCCAAGTGTCCCTGCATAAGCTCCAGGTTTCAAACAGCCAACTCATGCAATGAGCACAGGACTTGGTCCCACTGTCTAGTTGCCTCCCAAACTGATCAAGCCAATCAACT